CGAGGCAGAAGCAAACGTTAGCGCAACAACTGAAAGAGCAGGAAGTGTCGAGTCTGATATAAGAAAGATTAAGACAAGAAAGCAAAATGTGTAATTAATCGGCGGTGACATTGCACATAAACTATAGAACTTATCGTTTAGCAGCTACCGGACGGAAGCCTTTAGAATTATGCACACAAAGATCCAAAGTGTCAGGGCAATGATTTGCGTAGATTGATAAAATATCTTCTGGGATATCAGAAAGGATTGAAAATAATCCGTTGGAATAGTTGGTGGGCAACCCTTCGCTTTTGGCACAAAAGCTTCGTAAGGCGGAGTGAACCAGCCAAGGATTGGTATAACACTAATGGAAACTTGGGATGATATTCGCGACGAATGGGATGTAGGCAGAAGGTCAGTCGCGTTACAGGTCAACGCATCACTCCAAATAGTGCATGGAACGGTCACAAGTGGTTCGCGTTGAAGTGTCATACACGTAAGCTTGGTTAACGACTGGTGGGGGGGGGGGGGAATGCATTATTCATTCACAGCCCTGCATCCGTCCGCCGGTACTCCTCAGACTGATCGGGTTAAAACTGATCGTCACATACTCCAAATCTCTGCCCCGTCCAACCTGTTCACGCAGCTGTTCACCTTGCTGTTCTAAACCGCCTCAACAGTCAGCCACTGGGGAGTTGATAGCAATCCCTTCCAAATGATTTCGAGGTTATCCTAGTCCAGCTCATGGCTTGTATCTATCAAGTGCATGGCTATTGCAGAACTGCTTAGTAGAGCCATATTTTCAAGCTCGTTTCTCGGTAGCCATGTTATGCATCTCTTGAGTTCCGTTATCCTTATGTATAGCTCTCTCGGCGTTTGGCCGATGTATACGTGCGGGCAGTCATTGCAAATAATTGTGTCGACGTAATTGGTTGTCCTACCTGCGGGAGGTAGCTTTTAAATGCGCCAGTGTAGAGCGGAGCGTTTGGACTTTCTGGATAAGTACCCTTAAGTCTTCTTCATTTAGGACCCTCCGGATGGTCTCCGAAGTTACATCTTTATAAGGAATACCCACCGTCGCAATCCACTTCACAGCAGATATTGTAACGTAGTTAACACTAAAGATAGGTTGTTGAGTGATACAGAGTGTCAACTACTATACAAATGTTTGACATTTACTATCAAATATATAAGATCCGAAGAATTTGTTCCTAGTGTTGTGACTGTTTTAACGAAGTTATTTGTTTCAACTACTGAACATATTCGTGCAGAGGTTGTAAACATTATCAAATTTCAGCAGGCAGGGGGAGCCAAATCTTGCTCCAGAGGAGCGTGTCGCGTTAACTGTCCTAAAAGGAGATTCGAACATTATAATCATAAAAGCCGATAAATTCAAAACCACTGTGATAATGAACATGTCAGATTATTTGGAAAGATGGAGGGAAACCTAGGGTTATCGATAAAAAGTTCGTCACGTCAGTGATGAATAAGTCAGTTAGTAGTTACTTAAGGAACGTAAAGATGAATCTAGGACGGGGTAAATGGTACAACACATACCCGAATTCCTCTCTTCCACCAAGATTGTATAGCTTACCGAAGACACATACGCCCGATGTACCCATTTAACCTATTGTAAATGGCATAGGTTCCCAGACGCATGAACTGGCTAGATATTTGTCTAGTGTATTGCAACCCTTGACAGGGCAGACGAAGACGTTCGTAAAGCACAATATGACTTTGAGGGAAAGGTGTCCGGTCTTGAGGTTGAGTCGAAGGAAATGGTGATCAGTTTCGAAGCTAGTGCGCTCTTTACCAACGTGCCAATATGCGACTTTTTGGGACGGCGAAACACCGTATGACTGGGGAGAGTGATCTAGGATAGTGGACGAAGCTTACGGTAGATCCAATAATGGAAGGAATGACATTGTGCCATAACATGTTTTATTTCACGTCCCAGTCTAGATTATACACTTAGGAACGGGGACTAGCCAAGGAATTGCCACTGTCCATGTGTTGGCAAATTTGAACATGGAAAACTTCGAAAGGAGCGTGCTGACTGACTCTTGTAGTTCACCAAAAATTTGGTGGCACTTTGTTATCATAAAACAGGATAAGGAAGACCAGTTTCTAAACCGCTTTAACACACGTGCGGAGACTAAAAGTTTCACTATGGAATTGGCATCTGGCAGTGGAACATTGTCATTCCATGACTGCTTAGTACACAGGAATGGGGGTAGTCTAAAATCAACGATAAAGAGTAAGCCGGCAGACACAGATGGTGTACTCCATTACAGTTCAGGTCACCCAAAGCATGTGAATGCTGGCATCGCTTCATCTCTGTTTCACAGAGCCAAGACTCTGTGCATGAAAGAAGATGATAGGAAAACCACCGGACAAAAACAATGAATTAATTACTAATGACCAGGCGGCTTTGGATATGATTCTGTTTAGTTCATCATAATTAGATTCCCAGTCGCATACGTAATCTACCAATCCGGAAAAGTACCAGACTCGCGGCATGGTAATAGCTTGTACAGCTGTGCAACCTGTCCAACTTTAAGCAAATGGAATACCATATTTTCGAAGAAGCTAATAGGCTCACTAAACGTTTGGTGGGGATGTCCTTTAGAATCTTTTACTCACAGCTCTGCGTGCCTTAAAACTAGCCCCGGTATAGCTCAGACGCATGAAACTTAATATATGTCTCTTACTCATTATCATACACAAACGAGTTTATGCCCCAAGCTTGAACTTGAAGTACAAAGTTGGGCCAAAGTATACTATTAGAGACAGCCACAACTTGCTACAAATAAAAAGGCTTAAAACACACGCACGTAGGAAATCTTTTGTGAAGGTTTATGCAATAATACTGAACAGGATACCTTCCAGGTTGCGAGAATGGAAATAATCAGAAATCTTTCTAAATGAGATCCGTACCTTGTTAACTATTGAATAGACCACCGAGCTGCTAAGGCAAAATGTCACGGAGGAGATGGCATACGAAAATGGTCGCTCACATATCTAAGGTATGGTAACTATCGCCACCATCCTATCCTCCCGTATTCAACATTTTGACACCCTGTAACTGTTGGCCTTAAGAAAGCATTCTGGCCTGTGGTATAACAAAAAAGGATAGCGCCACACTGAGCCTCCCAAAACAAAACATATAGATATGGCTAATAATTTTTGACGATTTTTCCTGGTCTGTATACTAACCTTTATTTATTTATGACCAAATTGTTTTCTTTATTTCTAAGCAATTTCCTTTCCTGTCAGGAAGTATCATCACAAAACTACAGGGTGCTTCATGACATCCGTCAATGTTAATTCCTACACACCTCAGCTGCCGGTAGTGGATAAATCCGCATCTCCCTTTTTGCGAGGACTTGTCCAGAAACTGTTTACAAAAATCTGTCTATAAAATTCTACCAGTTCAAGCTCAATTCGTAACTCACACCGTCGAGAAATAAACAGCTTTTTCTGTTACTTTTCTACTCTTTAAATATGTCTCGTAATATTAAATAAATCTTTCACTTTCTTGAGAGCAACAGCTCAGCAGCAGGTGTCGATTTTCAGTGTTCATCGATTCCAAATACTGTGTTTTGCGAACTCAGGTAACTATAGGATAAACCTGAAGTATCCTTTCAGAATTGCCTCGCATATCGACAATCCGAGCAACAACTCGTTACAGCGATCCACTGCACAATTTGATCGAGAAATCCGTCTGCCTTTCTTGCCGGTATTTAACAACAACGATTTCTTATTTCACATCATAACCGTAGTTAACTTTCTACCTCCTCATGTTCTATATTCTTCTTTACTCCATTGTGGGCCACAACTGAGTCGATCTTCAGAGGCAACGGATTTTAGCCTCCAAACAGATAGATGAACCCGGGTGAGGCAAGATGCCAAGGACTCTGACGAGGACAAAAGTGCTTCCCTTAGAAAAACCGATTGCTATATGGCCTAATTGTTCATTATATATATATATAAGCTCTAAAAATCCCAAACGATGAGTACAATAAGTGATGGCAAACCTGCTTTAAAGCCACATCAGCAAACGGTCAGAACAGACACGGAAATACAGGTGAAAACTTTCGAGGGACTAAGCTGCATGCAAGTAGGTCCCCAGGAGACGAATCCACGGTTGGTCATATTATTTTTACTAAAACATTTAAAACATTTAAAACAATTATTTTTACTAAAACATTTAGATTTATCTGCGTTTAGTATTTTAATCAACCAACGTGTATTTGAAAGACGCAACTGATGAATCAGTCCAGCAAAATAGTTTTGGAAACTGTTCTGAAAAAAGAACTCGAAGAAATATTCTCCGTCCCATGCAAACTTGTTGTACACAATGACCAAACCAATCAGTCGGACTGTGCCTTGCATCATCGAGGAATATACCCTATATTTATTCATTTAATATTTTTTATTGGATATGGAGCTCGTATTCTTTTGATTGCAGGTCTACTACTGAAGATACTTGTAGATACAAAATCTCCATTACTACTCTGTTCCTCAGCCAGGTAAGTGGCAACAATTAATCTTGGATTCATTACGAAACGCGCTAATTAACTTGGCAATTGTCGGGGTGTACTTGGTTCCATAGAGGTTGCTGTTGTTCAACCTATATATAGGCTAATTTGTGGAACCAGAAAATACCAAAACCCCATGAAATAACTGATGGATACCTTCTATCTGATGTGAATGTGTCTAGCTGTTAGGTAACCTTCAGTAGTTGTACGCATCCCAAGCAAGTGAATGATGTCAACTACTTTCTAATTCCTAATAGATAAAGGTCAAAAACGGAGTTAGCTATATTACAAGTAAGATAGGAAGAACTTGAAACCGTAATAATGAAGCAATTGCCATGGACCATACTTATTAGCAGTACAGGTTACAACGGTAGTGCGTGTTAGTAAAAACGAGCTGAAGAAGTCCTCTTTCAATGTTTAAATTGTACAAATCACTCAAATTCATAACAAGAGATTAGCTGGGCGAACTCCACGTACTCGTTAAACTATACTAACATAGAAAAATGCGCACGCCTGCGTTTGACCATTCTGGTTAAATTCCCATTGCATTGCTCGTCTTCCCTGAAAGGTTGAATGATATAAAGGCAATTATGGACAAAATTACATACTAGTGTGGGATACGTTTAAATGTACTAGATTCTACAACAATTTTTCTAAAAAATATTTTCAGTAGTGCAGTATTACTTGTTTTCATGTAGGCGTGCTGCACCAACTGGGTTCTAGGCATGCTCCGTTTCGCTGATAAAGTTGGACCGGAATGTTTCATTTGACAGTTCATCCCAGGGCACATACCTAGTGGTCTTAAATTAGCAGCAAAGTAAATTTTTGCCATTTTACCAATCTGTTCTGTGATAGCAAAAAACCCACGAGAATGCAATTAGCAGCTCCAAAATATTGTGATTCCCTGTTAATTTGTTATCCTAACATGACATACAGAATAACAGATAGCAAAGCTTTTTTGTAAAAATAAATGTGTTGTTATATTTGTTAATTGAAGCACTTACTTGAGGGAAATCGGCATAAATCGGTACCAAATGTGAATATGTGTAATAACTTCCGTGTTTTTCGATTCCGCAATTATCTTCCATTAGAAAATGGCATGAAATATCCGATCGAAAAAGAACCGATCGCTGTAATAATTTCGTACCTATTGCCGTCAACGTAATGGTGCCAAGACTGACATTGTAGCCTGCGTTGACAGCAGCAAATGAAGTATATTATTACCAGCACATATTTGATAAGTGTTTTGAACAAATTAATAAACACGCAGCTGACTCACGTGAGTCAATATCTACCCATATTCTGTTAAATTGTGCTCTATGAAAACGGCAGTTTGAAGCATGATAATCTGACATGCGAAAGCGTAAAATCGCCATGTTTTCAGGAGCTGGAACAAATAAGTTAGCAACAATTATGTTATTTCACTAATGGCATATAGAGTTCACTATACTGTCGATCGCTAACTGCATGCAATACTGACTCACCGCAGTCACGGAAGGGTACTTCGGAGCAGCCTACTCCAAGTATAAAGAAAATTACAAAAAGTAAAATAATCAAAGACATGCTGAATGAATATCGTAATTGTGCGGGTCGCTTTAGTACCATTTATATAGTTGCCCCATCCAAAAAAGTTAATATGCATGCAAATGAAATGAAAACTTTAGTCGTTTAGATAACGAAGTTTATGTATCGTACGACAATTTAAGTACTAAGCGTTTTCCGATATCTCCGAAAACAAATGGCGCTCCGAATTTTCGTTTATTCCGCTTCATTCAACTGGTGTTGGAGTGAAAATGAAAACAAACCCAAATACCTTCAAGTACACATTTGCATAAATTCTACTGTATAGTGCGTCGCACGTTCGATGTTCGAGTTGGTCTTCATTCAACTATTAAATTTTTGGGTTGTTAGCAAAACATGCGCTTCCTAGTCCGGGTCTCAGTTATATTATTTATCGTTAATTTATCCATAGGTTAATTCCACACAAACAAATACCATCAAAAGGATATTGCATCAAATGTTTGACAAGTCAGCGTATTAGTTGGTAATAGTTTTTAGTGTTTTTGTCTATCTTTGAGCGATTCGCTTCCACTCTGTGCCTGGTACCAGGGTGCAAATTCACATTTGATCACAGATACCTGCACTATAACTCGGTCGGGACCAGGCCACTGGCAATTCATAGAACACGTACCAAGTTCTGTTACATTAATCCCTGCTTTTCTATTAATACCTAAGTATTTATTAAAATCTCAAGTAAACGTGTTAAATTCTTTAGATATTCCAAACTGCTAAATTTCCGGTTGCGAGGTGGCGTAATACTTTACACTAAATATTTTACTACGAACTCGGGGACTGGAAGGTGTCCAGCCGAGCTTTAGTTTATGGTATTTGGTTGCATAGGAAGACACTTTCTTAAGCTGTCATTCGTTTCGGAACTCGCAAGCCATTCTTTTCTATGAATCAGTTCGGATACCTTCCCAAAACTAGACTGATAGATACACTTGTGGGGTGCGACTCAGATGCTAGTCAAAGGAGGTGACAACTGAGAGACGTACCGAGTACGGAATTGGTGAGAACAGTTACATCTGCTGGACCCAAAGTGTATTGACAAAAGCTACCAGGACTGGAGGGTAGTTAAGCAGAGGCAGGCAGTCCTTTGCTGTATGACCCACCTGAGGACGAAGTAACCGGTCGGTACAATTAGTTAAACAAATGGATCCAAATGGAAATGCCTGTCAAAACAAAGTAAGAATTCGGAGCAGAAAGGAGTACACCTATTTGGTTTCTCAAAGATTTCACGGCATTTTTGTTGTTTTGCAAAGCGTTTGTAGATTAAGCACGCGACTGCTATAAAAAAATACACAATCAAGGAATAAAACAAAACTTACCAAAATCGGAAAAATGAACTGGACGTCTGACATGTCTATTTAGTCGCTCAGTTGTCTGAGGCTGGGACTGGCTTGGCGGAGAGTCAAGGGTAGCCGAGGGATCTGGAGTGATTGGTTTGGAAGACGCCGTTGCGGGTGGGTGCATCTGTGTGGTTGCAACTGCTGAGGATGGGGGCGGGTGTTAGAAGGCCACTATAAGACGATCGATGGACGCCGTTACTCCGTGACCATTCTGCTCCAAGCTAAAATGCTTCGGAGTTCATTGAAGATGTTATGTGGCGAGCACTAACTGACCAAGGAGATAACGATGCACTTTAGTGAGACCAAGTTGAATATCCACTCCGAAATTTGATCAGTATAATTCGTCTAAGTGTGTGATCCATATTCATTACGAAAAAATATCATATACAGGCTAAGAGACCATGTGCTACAAACAGTCGCCCGCCCGTAGACTAAAGGCAACGAGTTTGTCTTGTAATGTGATAGTGCGGGTTAAAGCCTGCTTAGGGGCAGGACGAGCCTAGTAGTATCCTAATTCCACACGAGACCAGTGGTGGTTCTGCGGCAGCGAAGCGTTGCTACCGCGTACCGGCGTACTGCTGCTGCCTTTCTTTCTTTTACAGTCATTCAGAAGAGCTACCATTGGGGATTAACCCAGGCCGATCTGGACTGCTCAGAACAATCTGATAAGGCGTTAAAGGCTGAAAACCAACACGTTGACATGCTGCTGAAGGCATTCGGGCGGATTGGTCCCTCTGTCTGCTCGCAGTACGGCTTCGTGTGGAATACGATATCCAGGCCTGGCAGCCCTGGCTCAAGCATGGCCTTTCAAGTATCGAGACTCCACGGAGTAGATCCATTAAGCGCGTCAAAGGGCTGTTCCATCTTCTATATCAAGATTAGCTGAGGACTCCAAGATTGTACAGCGGCCGGTATCGGCGCCTACGTCGCGACCTAATAATGACCCACCTACTTTTGAGGAATCCCAACCACGTCTGCTGCCACCCACTGCAACTCAGTCGGAACACAAATTTGAGGGGCCACCAATTCAAGTTGGTCAAGCAACGCAGTAGGCTAGAATGTCGTCAAAAAGTTTAGCTACTTCGTGTGTGACAGCCATGAGGCGCCCTCCCAAATTATGTGATTTCTGAGCCCAGTTCATCCGTGTTTAAATTGCGCCTTGTCGTTGCCCTAACCTACCTGCACTACGAGCTATAGCCTGTGTCCCTCAACAGATGATACACTAAGAACTGAATTAACACAATGGCGGATGGCATGCCTCAGTGTGAACACTATGGGGAGTGCACCAAGACGATTTTAATTTTATTACTTTATTTTCTTTTCACTAGGTTGGGGTTTTCATTCTGGCCATTCAACAAGACTTGTTAATTATCCGCTTTTCTCCGTACTATACTATTGTTCTAGTGTTGAATTGACCAGTGACTACAACATGAAAAATAATGAACGTGAAAGCCACCCATCCTTGACCAAAATTACCACAATTCGTGGTTAATGTTTGCCCGGTGAATCAAACGCACTTCGCCGCAGCATCGCTACTTCTGCTCGAAATGTTTATCGACTGCAGGAGAGTGAAAGCGAAACAGTGTGATGTTAATGTATTTGGAGACCGTGATATAAGTAGATACAATTGGCCCAATGTGGTTAATGGTAGAGTGACTAAAGCAGATTGGGCTAGTTTACAGTGGACGGAGAATTGTTGAGTGTTTTTTGAACCTTCCGTGACCCGTCTGATATAACTAGTTACCGATATACCGATACCACCAAAGCATTTGACGGCAACTCGAATCAACACGCTTGCACCTGTACGGCGAGCGTCAGTGCGATCGCAATTCTGGTCTATGCATCATTTAAAATCACGCTCAGCTTCCTTGTTTTACTGTCCAAACGCATTGGTTTAACACTTTTCCCACACGAGGGAGTGCACAAATGTGATGATAATGTCCCTTGGGTAGGACTGACACTTATAATGATCTAAAATCATGATGTGGTATTCTCCTCTACGGTATGTGGATTTAACAAGTGCCAACTTGATTTGATTTTTTACCATAAATCGAGTGTGCACAAATTTATTTACGCACCTGTCGACAGTAATCGGGAAATGAATGAGACAAGGCGAGAGAAGATTCAACCTACCATATTGTAGGTTAGGACAGAAGCGGGACAAAGGGCACTTGTTCAGGTATAAAGCCTGCTGGGCTCACACATCAATCCAAGTGACTGCGTACATTCCGGTCAAATCGTGCTTCTGATTCGGATTATACGTGTGTTCATATTGGATACACATTAGTCTGGCCAACTTACAATGCAATAGAGGACGCAATTCTAAGAGGACCCAGCCATCAATACTAATATATGGACACATTAACCAGGTGTACATAAAAGCAGGTGGACAGCCACTTGACCGAGTAATATCCCCCGACTCTTGGCGCCCCACAGGGCACGGTCATCAAGCCGATTTTGCTCTTGACCCACATCAACAATTTGCCTCAGCTTCCCAGTTCACCTAGCGCGTTGTTTGCAGATGACCTTAAGCCATGGGTACTTTAGGGCCCAGAAGAGTGTGAGCTGGCTATAACGTCATCTTGACGCCTCTCCATGTGGTCAGCGAACACTAACCTTCCCACCAAGTCGGTATTCATGAGCCTGGACAAGGGTGGTAATGGCCGAGACTACAATCACAACTGACGACAGTTAAACCCGTCAGCATACGTGAAAGATCTCGTCGTACTCTCACTCTGGGATTTGAAACACGAACAGGCTTTAACAAAACGGATTGCGCAGGCTTTGAGCGCTCAAACGAACTTTCTGCACTTGGTCCGAAGAAGTTGCCACCAGCCTCTTCTTTTCTTTCATTAGACCCATGCTGGAGTACAACAAACCCGCCTACTGTCCGCTCACTCGGGGCGAAGGGCAAAGGATTGAGCGGATACAGCATGTGGCCACCAAGCTCATTCCCGGTTTACGAGATGTGCCATAAGAAGACCGATTCAAGGAGTTAGGGTTGACCTCGTCCTGACGCACCTGATACTACATCCCGGTGAGTACCCCATTTTGAGAATGTTGCTGCATCTGCGCACACCAAGCTACACACGAGGACACCGGTACAAACTTGTCGTACTGGAATTGAAGTGGGTCACTCATCAACTCTGCTTCTAGCGGGGGATGGTGAATATTTGGAAAAAACCTGCCTGCAGCATCATCATTATACACGTTAGCTGGGGGAAAACACCTCAGCTACCGTGCCCCAATGCATAGAAAAGAAAAAGAAAAATGCAATAGATGCCAGCTAAACTACCAGTAACGGATGGGCATCGTTCCGGTAAGCTACCAGCCGCCTAGTATGCAGTAAAAACTTTATTAAACAAAATTATATTATGCTTGGAATGCTATCCTCTTTGGAGTGGGTGACTAGGAGGGATGGCAAGGGAAAAAAAGAACTTTCGGCACAAAAGCCAGTAAGGTCGACTCCGGGCCATGTCAGCAAGTGTATCCAGCCAAATGTGTTCTTAGTCATTCGGACCGAAAATCAAGCACCCGGGAAGCTACAACCGAGGTCAGCTACGAACTTTCATTCCTCTCGACCTGCCTGCAGACAAGGTGGAAGCAAAGTCGGTGTCGGAGTTTAAGAAAACGGCACTTTGCCGAATTGAGATTTACAGAATAATCACCATTTTATTAGGCAAATTTACTTAATGATATTAGATGTAGCTACATGGAGATATCTCTACTTGCTGAATTTTCTAAATATTCAGTATTCATACTGAAAATTGGCAAACTTGGTCACATCATCCAATTAGCCAGGCAGTAATACCCAATTGCGGACAAATCATTCCCAAATAGATTTTTAGGTATGTAATTAGTTGGTGAATTTAATTAATGTAACCAGCTTGTTATCACATAACACCATTCGATTGCTTTGCATAGGAAAGTATGCTCCTTGGTACGTACATTTGGATGTAGCATAACATTATTCTGTAGAATGGTAGGAAATTACATACACCGGAAGTAGGCCTGGTGCAATTAGATTCCTCCTGGGATCCGCTGTATATCGCCCTGTGGTGATGGCACTTTCCACCTCAGATGCCTCATCAGGTAGTATTGTAAAAGATTTGCATGACTAAACTCGGTCAAGTGATTAGAATTAGCTAACTCACGTTATTGTATTTCATAGTCAACTTCGTCCGTACTTAAACCATTTCTTTGTGAACAGCCCGGTTTTGACTGTAATCCATAACTGCGTATGTGTCTGTCAAAGTGACGCAATGCTATAAATAGCGCAAAGCGCACAGTAGCATTAACACAGCAGCAAAAGAAAAGTTTAATTGGTAACCCAGTTTAACTGGGAAAACTCACTAGTTTGTTTTTCAAGGGTAGCTTTTTCGCCATGCAAAGATCTGGTTAGATATGAACTGGGCGTCAAACCGTAGCCTCACCTGCAATCAAGCGTAACTCTACTTTGGTCTGGTCAATCCCTCGATTTTGCATAGGACGGCTGGATGCGTGATATACGTAAGTACACAACCGTTTGTTCCGATCTACGCCTTTGACTTCTAAGGTTCTTTAGCGTGGGACAAATAAAATTCTTTCAAGTTGGCAGTTTAATTCCACGGTGGTATTTCTCAACCTAGCATTTCAATGGGCAGAACACGAAAATTGCTTATCACTTCCATAGTAGCAGCTTAATTCCAAGCTTAAAGATATCGAGTATTTCACGCAACTAGTAGCGAGGAAATGGCATCCCTTGAATGATGCTGCTTGTTAAAATCGGTTACATTTGTCGTTATTTTAGAGACACAAACAGATGACCACGGCTGCTTCAAGACTTGAAGCTATTGACTTTCACCTAAGCAATAATTGCACATAGGTCGCATTCCACGTACCAGTTGCTGTGGATCATGTCAGTCAACCCAGGAATATCCCTGTCTAGAGGAGGACAACAAAGTACATAGGCCATTCGTACAACTTACATATATATGAAAGGGCATGAGAGTGATGCATCGGGCAGGTTCCTTCAGTCCCTACCACAAGCTGAGTCGTCCACATGTGAATGACTTTTGTGCCGTTTCTGAATCCTGGAGAAGGAGAGCGCTGTGATAACTATGACACATTATAATACGTACTACCTTTTTGGAATAATTGTTTTCTAATACCTTGTTGAATTAACAGCAATGGGGGTTAGTTACGCGACACTGTCTAATGATTCGAAATAATGTGATCGGAAGGAATGCATCGCCAAAGCCATGAAATATCTAATTTTCTTGTAATTGAAGTAGCGTTTTTGAGTGTACGCAGCTGACGATTATCAGAATATTCTAACACCGTCTAGATTTTGCCAATTGGCGCATACAGCTCGCTATTGTTGCTACTTCAACAAGGTATTCATAGGTGTTTGTCTGTACAACCAGTGGATGTGAGCTCCGTTCTCTTTGGAGTCAAATGATACGA